ATGCTAAAGGAGCAAAAGTCTTTACAGTCTCCTAAAAGTACAGAGTCAACCTCTAAGGCTGCAAAACAACTTAAAGGAGGAGAAAAGGAAAAACAAAGAGAAAAAAAAAGACAACATCGACATTCTCTAAAATGATGTATCTTTCCCTTAAGTTGAATAAGATCATTCCTCACTTAGAAAGTGATACAGAAGAAGAAGAGGATACTCCTATCTAGTCTGATGAAGTATGTGGGCCTTCAACGAAATTGAAGGACCATTTTTTATTATTTCAGTAAAGACTATGAGAATGAGTGAACTTATGAAAGTAAAGCTCAATGGGGTTTCTATCTAGTTTGATGAAGTATGTGGGCCTTCAACAAAATTAAAGGACCATTTTGATTATCTCAATGAAGACTATGAGAATTAGTCAACTTATGAATGACACTCAATGGGTTTCTTCAATGAGAATGACCAAATTGTCAATATTATATGACTCACCTACATTGATGTCATCCCTCATCATTTCAAGGAAGTCACTCCTCGTGAAGTGCATGTCATTGAGGATTGAAGACTTCGTATGTAGCCCCATTATCTGGAAGTATTGCATTAGGGACTTCATTTTATAAGTTTGAGGAGTATCAATTCAAGAGCTCGATTGACCCGTATAGTGCCTTAAGTCTGAAGAAAATGATCCCTACTAGAATGCCCAAGTACTATCCTCCTATACTTCGAAGAATGATGCAAAATCTAGGTGTCCAGATTGAGGTCACTAAACAATGAGCTAAATATTTCTAGAAGAATTGGAATCCAAGAAGCCCGCAAGCATCAGGTGATGATAATGGATGCGCAACGGAAGGTCTTGGATTTATTTAGTTATGCAATAGCAGAAAATGAGATCGATAGAAAATATGAAGATGAAGAAAATTCATATGGAGTTAACTCTACAAATGATGAAGATGTAGATGTCAAACTTGCTCCAGAAGAAATTGAAGATGGTGGGCAAACAACTACCATGGATGACAGTTCCGATACTATCTGTAGGTCTCACAAGGTGGCAGTCAACTCCTTAAAGCTAACCCAACATGTACTACTGTCAGGGTCATAAAACTCAATCATACATTGAATCCAAGCAGAAGGAATATTCGAGAAATCAAATAGGAATACATAAACTGCCTCATAGATCCATGCTGCTCGCAAAATATCTGTGTGACCGCAATATGTATCCCAATCAATATATCTGCATGCCGACCTGAGATCTTGACCTATAGCTGAATCTCTAGACCACTCAAGTGTGTATGTCTGAAGCTGGTGGTGACTCAAAAGTTTGGACTACCCTGGTCGTACAATTGTATCGACAGCTGGTTGCAGAATCTCACACAACCAATAGCTGATCTGAGTCACTGTATTATACAACGGATTATACTCTGCACACTTCAACTTGAGAGTAGTAAACCACTCTGCAGGCTCCTGAAGCTCCAGAGTATTCGAAGAGCAATCTGGAAGAATAGGGGAACGAGTGAAAACTCTACTATAATTGTTTCGATCCACAAACATGTCCTGATGTAGCTCAAGTTTGTTCCGGCATCACGTCCCCTCGAGAATCTCGAGAAGGTCAATATGAGTCCAAATGGAATCCTCACTCTTATGCAACAAAAAGCAGTCAATCAACATGTTGAAACGACCGCGGATGGAGGGATAACAAATATGGTTAGCTCGATGCGAGCACCACAGTTGTTGGGGGGTATTTTTTGACCTATAAGAAAAGGCATAAGAAGAAATATAAATAAATAAAAAAATAATATTTTTAATTAATTAATTAATCTTTTATTTAAAGATAGCTGTTCCCGCGCTCTCTTCTTTAGCTACAAGGAACGAAGGGGAAGAAGGGTTCATTCAATCTGTTTCATTCGTACGTCTCACCTTGATTTTTACGGCATGCTCTGTGGTTCTTCCTCGGTCGTTCGAAATTCACTCTCCGAAATCTCTCTTCGCTTCTCACTCTTTCTGTTCGAAATCCACACGACGGAAAGGTAAACTGAAGGCCTGTCACATCTTTTGAGATCACGAGCTAATTATTTTTTTTTGCTTCCGTTGTGTCTTTTGAGACCGAGGGATGAAAAATTTTGTTTTACTCCCCAACCACTGTTTTACGACGCTGATCAATGATTTTTCTGAGATAGCTGTGAAGATTGGTACTATCATGTGCCCTCTAATGTGGGTTGACGCAGGAAGGCTCCCGAAATTTCGGGTGATTTGGACTTACAGTTGAAATTTTAAAATGATTTGGACTCGAGTTTTTCAAAATTTAGGCTTTTAGGGTTTTAAAATATCAGGAACCTGGACTTTTAAAAGTCATAGTTCTTAAATTTTAAAAAATTTTTAAATTTTTTGGCTTAAAAATTTAAGCTCTTAAAGTTTTAAAAAAAATTTAATTTTTGGGCTTTTAAAATAGAAATTTTTATAGCGTAAAAATATTAAAATTTGAGTTTTAAAATTTAAGCTTGTAAATTTAAAAATATTTTGAAATTGAGCTATTCAAACTTAAGAGTCCTAAAGCTTGGAAATCAATTCAAAATTGAATTTTTCAAGCTTAGGCTCCGAGGGGACGGAAAATAATTCAAATTTGAAGCCTTTTAAAGTTTTAAAATTTTGTCATCGGATTGAACATTTTATGTGATAATTTCCAAATAAAAGCTTATAGCTTCAAAATGGTTAAAGTTTTTAAAACCTATATAAGCTTCTTGTTATTCTTCGTCCAATGAAATGTTTGGAATATATGAAAATATTTTGAGACTCAGTTTGTTCTCTTCTAACGTGTGTATGCTTTAAGAGATTTATATAGATAAAATCCATATACATGATTTCAAAATTCTTGACCTAAATTATAAATCATAGTTATAGTTTAAAGGTTGCACAAGCTTTCAAAGTTTCTAAATTCTTTATGTTACTCAAACACATGAAATTAAATGCCCGCGTGTACTTCAACAATCATATAAAATGCTAGCCTTGTCTATATGATAGAGTTGTAAGTCCCATCCAACTAGTTTGATCATCCTCTTCATATTGACTAGAGTTGATAAGTCTAGTAATGTCTAAATAAATATCCAAATCCTAAAAAAAATTTACAAGTTCAAATCAACTAGTTCGATCTTCATTATATGGATAGGAGTCGATAGACTTATACTTTAAAAAGCTTAAACTTACAAAATTAAATGTCACCCCTTCAAATACAAGTACTTTAACTGCTCAATACCTTGATGATTGTCATGGTGATCAAAGATTTCATCCAGAGGGTCAATCTTTTTAATTAAGATTTTTAAAGTAACCAACCAAATATTCAAGTTAAAATTCAATCACTTATAAGCTAAAAAGCAAAAGATCAAAGATTTCAACCAGAGGGTCAATCTTTTTAATTAAGATTTTTAAAGTAACAAACCAAATATTCAAGTTAAAATTCAATCATTTATAAGCAAAAAAGCAAAATCCATCCGCTCTCCGCATTAGCTTGTCGAGGGTGACAAACTTCTGATTGACTTCAGCTCACAAAAAACGAATGTCACATCAAATGTTTATCTATATTCACAATCAGAATAACTGCATTTCAGTAAGAACGCGACCTGATTCCTCTATTTGCGTGTTTGGCCCAAAGCCTCCACAAAGTAGCAATTACAACCAGAACCTTCTGACTAGGTGTTTGCCGCCAAATGATATCATTATATTACGGTAATGACCATAGTCCGTATGTTTTCCAATGGTTTTCCACCCTTTGAATTGCGAGTTATAAGAGTATAATTGGCATAAAGCCTTCTTTTAAGGTTGACTTAAATTTGTCCCTTTAGACAACTACCCACACCAGATCTGTAAGGATATCTTGGACGATGCAACCCATGACTGATGGTAAGAATTCTTTTGTTAGGTTGGTTCGAATATCACCTCTGACTAAGTAGATCAAAGATCACGACGGCCCAGGATAACAAAACCATAAGATCTTGATCGGATTTAGTCTTCATTCCCCCACTATCCGCTTTAAACTTTAAGTGATAAATTTTACAACTAAAATTTTAAGTCTGCTGTTATTATATGTTGAATACTCAAATTTTAATAATTAGCCTTAATCGGAAGTGCTCTCCTGTTATCGGGAGAGGTAATTAATCACCGGGGCTTGCACTTATGGGAAACCTCAAACCCCGTATCAATAAGTGCTTGAAAATGAGGGTGAAATCTGTGGGTAGTATTTTCTCTACAATCTAATCTGTCTTTTGAAAATTCAACCCTCCAATGCTCTCTCAAAAAAAGAAAAAGTTAATGTAGAGAGAGTTGTTCTCGTGGAGCGGTCATGAATTTTCATAGCCCACAATAGTAAACTTTTTTGAGGTTCATGATGCGTTCCTTCGGTTGTCCCTCAATGGGTTTGGAACTTTTTGTTTTATGGGATTTCTTTTTCTTTTAGTGGAAGGTTATTATAGCACGTTAACATTAAATTTGAACCATTTTATCATTAGAGAACTCTAATTACATCTGGAAAAGTGTTTTGAGTACTATTTACGTTGTTTATGGATTTGTCATTCCCTTTCGTCAAATAAGTTGGTATGATAACTGGATGTTTCCAGATTTTTTGATTAGTGAATTTCTAAACAACTGCAATAGCTCAGTTCAACATTTTTTTCCTTCATGGAAAAGGGGATTGTTCATAATGTTAGCATAGCTTCATCTTATTATGCATGCTACTAATTTGAGCATGGGCTTGCATTGTAAATACCTTATGCATCGCCATTTTGAACGATTGGTGGTGTTTTTTTTCCTGTTTAGTTGGTTTTTGGGGTATATTAATCCTTATGCTTCGAAAGGAGTCTTGCAAGCTTTGTAGTTGTAAATATTTAATTGTTTGTTTTCATGCTTTTCTTTGATTTTTCGAAACGTCTGCTTAGCTTTGATAAAAATTCTAGAATCAATTAGTTTTCTTCTTTGTTTTTTTTTGCTAGAATCTAATAGTTTGTTTCGTACTATTGACTAACTTTTAGGCTATGGTGCAAATGGAGCTATCATACATTACCGCCCAAATCCTGCGAGTTGTAGCGTTGTTGGTGACAAAAATATCTTCCTTTTAGATAGCGGTGGTCAATATGTTGATGGTACCACGGACATTACACGGACTGTGCATTTTGGTGATCCTACTGGTAGGCAGAAGGAATGCTTCACTAGAGTTCTACAGGTATTCTTTTTATTTCTTTCACATTATCTATTGAACTTAATATATATCACTATCCTTTTTTGTCTATCAACTTTTGAGGCCTGTTATTATACAACATTTTGGCATTTTTCTTTTTCCCTGTCACACTTTTCTCCCTATATCAAACAATTTGCACACCGTTCATTCATGTTAACCAAGAATTTATGATCAATGAGCTCACAAAAAACTCTTACCACCGAAACCTTTCAATGTCCTTTTTCAGCTTGAGAAGTCTCATTTGGCTGACCGGCTGTAAATGTTTATTTAGGCAGTATACTATTTTTTTTTTAAACCAGTCTTCCATTCTCCTCCCTTCTAGTTGTGCCCAATATGACTAGTAAAATGAAAAATGATTTGTTAGTCATGCCCGCCAACACTAACTAGTGATTCTTATGTAGTAATTCTGGTAATTCAGCCTTGTACTCTCACCTGTTGTTGATTTATAAAGTCAAACTGTATAAAAAACAAGCTAAGGGAACAACTTGTAATTTATAGTGGACAATTTTTTATTTTTTATTTGGGTTTGACAGCCTCATTTAATTGATTTCGCCAAACAATCACCACAGCGAGCTTTTCAAGAAGGTGGTGAAGGAAACTGTAAATCCCTTTATATTCCAAATGATGTTTGAAAATCATGCCAAAATATTGTTTGGTTGGTTTTAATATTTTGCAACAACAGTTAAAATTGATATCATTGTTTTATCTTTATTTTTTGTTTTATAGGGTCATATAGCTTTGGATCAAGCAATATTCCCTGAACGTACTCCTGGTTTTGTGCTGGATGTACTTGCACGATCTTCACTTTGGAAAATAGGCCTTGACTATCGACATGGTAGTTTCATTTTCACTTCGTCAACCTGTGAACTGGAGCAACTATAAAATCTGCTTAGTTTGTATACCTGTAATTCTGATGTGCACATTCTCTTCTTTTAAATTTGTTATGATTTCATCTTTACCTGTTTTAGGTACTGGCCATGGGGTAGGAGCTGCATTAAATGTCCATGAAGGTCCTCAAAGTATAAGCTTTCGATATACAAATATGAATGCTCTGCAGGTCGGTATGATTGTCAGTAATGAACCTGGTTATTATGAAGACCATTCCTTTGGCATCCGAATTGAGGTATTTTGTGCAATTTCAATGTCTTTTATTTGAGGGTTGTGCACAAATACCAATTAGGCTAGTGAAACTAGTCTTGCTGATTATTGTATGTTGCCAGCTTACATGGTTGATAGTTTTTGTTGACCTCTACATATTTCATAGTGCGATTTAATCAAATGCGATGCCAATGATAAGCAACGATTGCAATCTTGTGTCTTGTTTTAAACTTATCACCCATAATAAAAGTACTCAATCGTTTTCCATTTTGCGAAAAAGTTTAAAGCAAAACATCGAGAATTATAAAACTATCTTCTAGAGGATCCCTTTATTGTTCAAATTATATCAAGGGAGGTAAATTTTTATTTGTGTGAAGCTATGATGCAAAATCGGATTGCACAAATGATGAGAAGGAGGATCTTGTAGTGGAGGGTCTTGAGTGAGTCGTCAAAATACCCATTAAAGTGGAGGAGCTTCCTTGCGTGCACTGTTATGTCGAGTTGAGTTAAAGTGGAAAACGAAGGAGCTTCCTTGCATGCGTAAAACTTTGATCGTGCCCTAATAGGAGCATCGCGCAGTGGAGGGTCTTGAGTGAGTCGACGCCAGCTCGTACATTGTCGAGCTCGGGAGGAAAGCATGGATCTCGCAGAGGGGAGGAAGAAGCCTGTGCGTGATTTTGGGATTTGGCGAGGTAAGTTGTTTAAAGCTAAAATTAATTGAAATACTATATATATATATATATATATATATATATTTGAAAAAGCCCAAGGGTTAATATATTAAAAATAAAGATACAGATATGTTTGTATGGGTGGGCCTAAACCCTCAACCCACACGGTACAAACATAAAAAAAGTAAAAAGCTGGGTACATATAGAAATAATAGAAAAAACTCAAAAAACCACTCAGACGCTGAAAAAGTGTGGGTTATCCCAATCTAGTTTTGTCTTTGGTTCTACTTCTCGGAAGGGATTCAACTAGCGGATTGGTACGATGCTAACCATTATCCGTAGTAACCAGAGTATCAACCATAAGACTCCTGAGCTCTAGTTCATTCTTCTTCTTCCTCCTAGAAGTGTAAACCTGTCATTCCTTCTCCGAAGAATCAGCCTGATGGGGTAGAGCTGAAGAAGAAGGATCACCAATAGTAGTACCCACAGTAGGTTCTGGAATATGTGAAGTATGAGTTGCCGCTACACCGGATACTTCTTGAAGAAGTGGAGCTGCGAGGCTATCCTGATTATCAGTCTCAACACCATCATTTATAGGTAAGAGTCCATCAGTATTGTTTTGTATGGATTTTGTAGGTGTCGGCTTCTCATCACTCGCAGTGGCAGTAACAACAGTTTCATGGGGGATCCTCATATATATATATATATTGGGGAATTGTCGACGCTGGCGATGACGATCCACTCTGCTAGGGTTTTTCCCGACGGTGAAATTCTGGTTTGATTTTTGACTCGACGACGAGGTTTCCCGCACTCGACGAAAACGACGCTATTTCCCGCACTCAACGACGTCAACGAACCGTCGTCTTCTTCTCGCGCTAAATGACGAAGGGCTTTGGAGTTCTCTTCTGCGGTTTCGTCGTCTCCTCCTTTGCGCCTTCGAGCTTCTGCGGTTCTTTTCTGCGCGGATCGAGTTGTGGTTTCTGTCGAGCTGTGATTTCGTGCCCTGTCTTCTACGCATTTCATCTACGGTTCGTGCGCAGCTATTCGGTTTGTCTTTTTGGTCTCTACCCTACTTGCAGGGCTTTTCTTTGCTGTGATGGAGCTTCTTTCTTCTTCAGTTGAACCTGACAAAACCTCCTCCTTTGCCCACGTGATGGGTAATTCTCAGGAGGAGACGACGATTGTCTTCTCTTCAAGTTATAAGGAGCATCGTAATGGTACATGTGACTATCCCTTTATTAAGAATGCAAGCAGAAAAAGCGGGAAGACAACATCCTTTTTCTCCACGTCAGAAATTTCAACGCTGATTGACAAATTCAAATTTGCTCTTATTGGGAAATTTCAGTGGGGACACCCATCTATGGAAATTTTTAGGAAAAGTTTTGATGATCGCAAATTAACAGGAAAGTTGAAAGTATGGTTCATGGATGGAAGACATGTATTGATTCAGTTAACCGTGCTTGAGGACTACACTCAGATTTTCTCCAAAAAATATCTTAACATCGCAGGTAAACCTATGAAACTACTCAAGTTGTCTCCTGATTTCGACCAAAATCATGAGACTCTCACTGCACTGGTATGCTTTAGTTTACCTGGTATCAAGCTGCATTTTTTTCACCATCAGGTTCTTTATTCTATTGGGACCATCATTGGGGATCTTTTAAAGCTAGATCTTCCTACTTTCAACTACTTTCAACCTAACTAGACCCTCGGTGGCCAGAATACTTGTGGAAAGAGATATTACTTTACCTGATGTTACTGTAGTCTGGCTGGGCACAACCCATAATGGTTATTGGCAACAAATCGTTATGGAGCACAGACCCCCATATTGTACCCACTGTAAGATGTTTTGGTCATGTCCTTGATAAATACCAGAAGTTTCATCCAAATTTGAAATCTAAGGTTTAAGTGAATAAGGATGGGTCTAACCGCACTGCTCTGGACATTTTAGTTCCACCTAGAGAGGATACTACCAGACAGGAGGTGTCTGTTGACTCTGAGGACCCCCCCATGACACTGTTGTTACTGTTACTGCTAGTGATGTGATGCTGACACCTTCAAACCCCATTGAAAATAATACTGATGGACTATTACTTACAAATGATAGTGTTCAGACTGATAATCAGGGGAACCTCGTAGCTCCACTTCTTCAGGAAGTGTCCGGTGTAGAAGCAACTCATGCTTCACATATGGTAGAACCTATGGTGGGTACTATGATTGGTATTCCTTTTACTTCAGCTCTTCCACCCCATCAGACTGATTTTTCGGATGAGGAATGACAGGTTTATTCCAGGAGGAAGAAGAAGAATGAAGACCGACTCCAACTCGGGACCATATTGGATGATACATTGGTTACTACTGGCAATGACGATCATCTTACCAGCTTATTAGCTTGCTCCTTCCCTAGAACTAAAGGCAGAGACGAGACCAAATTGGGTTGCTTTCTAGCCTCCTGATACTATGTATTTCAACACTGTTAGACTTTTTATTTAAGTATTTAATGTATTTTTATGTTTTTTCTAATTTTGGAACCATTCGTGGTTTTTGTGTGGGCAGCGTGCCATGCTTGGGCCCTCCCACACATTGTAGCTGTATCTTTTATTCTATTTATATATTAGCCTTTTTGGGCTTTCAATATATATATATAGAGGGGAAATGAGCATGATTCACCTTCCTACATGTTAGAAATAAAGGTGATTACAAAAGTTGTTGGGGTGAGGTCCCCCAAACTAAAAATCCAAAAAATACAATGCTCACACATAAAGGGGGTCCTAAACCACCTACAAAACCTCTGAAACCCAAAAAAAGCTAACAAATGGTATACCCAAAAAAAAAAAAAGATCGTATACCCAAAAATCTCCAACCAAATAGATGTGAAGTAAAGAGCAGCATTAGACAGTGTAGCAAACGAGGAGAAGAAGGTAACAGAAGTCCCAACCAATTCTGTCTTAGTAGTGCAGCAGGTCTTCAGGCAAAGGAGGTATTCTTCGTGCATACCATAATGGAGGAAATGTCCAGCCAAGCAAAGTCCCAATCACATTAATGTCCAGAGGAATCAAAATCCAGCATTGCACAAATGGATAAGCACATATAGGAATTCTCTAAATGCCCAGCATAATAAAAACCTCTCGAGAGGAACCCGAGGGACACCTTAAACTTTAACCACCGAAATAAGGAATCAGCATTAACAGATGGATCCAAACTAGCCAAATAAACTTGAAGTACATGCAGTAAGAATGAGAAAGGAGCCTTCTGTGCCATAGAAAAACCATAAACCAACCAGAGTAATGTGCCAATAAAGGCATAAGACACAACTGAAACATAAAACAAAAAAAAAACAGGGGATACCAAAGAAGCAGGCTAGCAAGAGCAATCACAACAGACATAAGGAGCGTCTACTTTGTCCCGAACAACCAAAGTGTGTAAAGGGGGAGGGGGGATGGAGAGGGACAGAGCCTACCCAACAATTGTGACTTGTACTACCAACAACAACAAGCCAATTAGCGGGTCTATTCCCCTCACGATGAAGGAACCTCCAAATAACAGAAATATGAGAGGATATGAGTTTAATCCTCTTAATTTAATAGAGAATATTCTACGACGCATCAACCTCATTAGCAAGAATATCAATCAAAATGTGGGAATCACTTTCAATGATAATAAATTGCCAACTGAGAGAAGCAGCTATCATGACAGTCATCAACATGGCCCTAGCCTCCGCTTCAATAGGAGTATCCGAGAAACAGGGAGAAGAGAAGAAAATAATAGTCTCCGACATTATTCCTAGCAATGCCCTCACAACCAGTATTGCAAGATTTCCCGCTCCCATCGATGTTAAACTTTACCCACCTCGTGGGAGGAGGCCGCCATCTCACCAAAACCTGGAGTTTTGGTATCCTCACCCCAACCAAAACCGTAGGCCCCATTGATTGGAAATAGTTTATGCCGGAAAAAAAGTTGTTTTTAGCAGCTCCCACCTTACAAAGTTTATTAACATATGCAATGATATTTATAAAGACCGTCGTATTGTGAATGAATTTACCCTCATGTTTGATATCATTACGAGCCATCCATGCAAACCAACAAAAAATATAAGGCTAAATTTGCAAAAAATATTTTTGTTTTCGATCTAGGTTACAAAGCAAAATGGTACCAAGTAGATTTCGAGCAGGAGATAAATTAATACCAAACCAAAGACGAGCCTTCCGCCTAATAAACTGTGAATAGGGACATAAGAAAAAAAAGGTGATCAATAGACTCCTCCGCCGCGTTACAAAACAGACAACATGAAGCAAGTCTCAACCCCTTCAATTTTAAAATATCATCGCAAGGAATAACGGAATGGAAGATCCTC